AGTTGGTGGGGGGGGGGGGGGATTTTCCCTTAGGATTTGAGTCTTCTATGTTGATTGTAGTACGTGTACACGAGGTGACGAGTATGTGCTCGGACTTATTTGTGGAAAGCTGGCCTTTAGGCTTCTTAGGTCCTTATATTCACTAAGTATGAAGTTGTTCTTGATATGACTAAGTTTCCTATTTACTAGTTTCACCTCTACATGCTTAATTAGAACTAATTGCTTTATGATTCACTCTTATTGCCTATCTGACTCTTATTTGACTTAACTGAAGATTTGTACTCTCATATTGTCATGCTATCTTTTCATAGCTCCCTATCTTTATCGGAAATTATTATTATCTCATTCTATAGTTGTTTAGTCTTAATTGAGGTTGTGATTATCTTTTCGCCGATTATCCTTAATTGAATTGTTGAATAACCTTCATAATTGCTCAACCTTAAAAGAAATTAGATATCCTATATTTCAGCTGACATAGAATTATTTGGAATTATTTGACTCGTGTTAGCTTCCCTTGTTGTTGAATTGTATGTTGTGGTGTCATTGCTACATTTTAGTGTTCCCTTGTTAAGTTGTTTTCTTTACGCTTAGCATTCTTTACTGTGATTATTCCTTGTGAACGGGCTCTGCTATTTCTTTGTGATTTAAAGTTCTGGAGTTGATTTACTTGTTGTACTTTGTATTATCATCATTGTTGCTGTTGTACTTGTTGTGGTGATGTACTAGGTTTCTGCAGTGCTGTAACTGTTATCTCTGTGTGTTGCCCTGCATATTTACTTTGGGACTACAGAACGGTATTCCGGGATATCCCCTTTTACTGTATATTTACTTTGGGACTACGGAACGGTATTTCGGGAGATCCCCCTGTATTGCATATTTACTTTGGGACTACGGAACGGTATTTCGGGAGACCCCCCAGCACTGCATATTTTCTTTGGGACTACGGAATGGTATTCCTGGCGATCCCCCTGCATATTTACTTTGGGACTACGAACGGTATTTCGGGAGATCCCCCAGCACTGTATATTACATTGGGACTATGGAACGGTATTCCGGGAGATCCCCCTGCACATTTACATTTGGGAAGGGACGGTATCCTGGGAGATCCCCTGTTGTTATCACGGTGTTCTGAGCTATTGTCTTTCATTGATTCTATTCCTATGTAAACATTTGACATGTTGTCCGTTCTTTTCTCTATGCTTACTAGCTAGTATGAACTATGTTAAGACACTTGCACAAGCATACATGAAGCTAAGTACCCTTATCGGATAAGACGTTTTCTAGAAATTGTTGAATATAGATGCTCACCTTGTTTACTCGCGTTCTATGTGAGAGAGACTCTATTTGGCACGTGAGTTGTCAGCATGACTATGAGCTGTGATGAGGGAACAGGATGCCAAGTGTTAGGGTTCAGGTATTGAGACCCGTGAGTTGTAATTTGTCCGAGGTTTGGTACTTCGTGGAGTTGTTGACTAAGACCTGATGTGAGAACTGTCGTAGTTGTTGAGTTATCACTTGTCCTTGCTGTACTAGTGTTTTTGGATTTGGGTTGTGTCTCCGTTCACTCTTTTGTGTTATTATTATGGTGTTCCGCTGTTACTTGTTGTTTCCTTCTTACTGCAAATTTCTGTATCGTTAGTTATATTGGGACCTAGGATGTGCGGTCAACAGAATGAGAGGTCAGATTTTTGTACTATATAAACGAGGGTTAGAGTATTATTTCACATTTGGATTTTGGAGCTCGGTTTGTGGCGATATTTCATGAGTGTTTTTCAAGAAATTCATCGGGGTAAGTGATTCTAACTTGGATTTGGTTAATATACATGAATATATCATTATTTTCATCAATAAATTAGTATTTTGAGATGAAAATTGGGGGTTTTCACCTAAAGTTTCATAATGTGAATTTTTGAGTTTTCAACATCGATTCAGAGTCAGATTTGAGTGAAACTAGTATGGCTGGACTCGTAATTGAATTGTTTATCAGATTTTGTGAGTTTTGTCGGTTTCCGAGGTGCGGGCCCGGGTTGAACTTTTGGATGATTTTTGGGCTTTTGATTAAGGATTCAACCTTTATCATTTGGAATTGTTTCCTTGGGATTATTTGATGCATTTGAGCTGATTTTGGCTAGTTTCGAGCTGTTAGGAGGTAGGTACGTGTGGGAAGACATTTTTGGAGCATCGGTGGCATGCTCGGTATTGGATTTGGCTTGTTCGAGGTAAGTAATACTTCTAAACTTAGTGATGAGGGTATGAAACCCCCAATTATGTGTTATGTGATTAGTGTTGAGGTGATGCACATGCTAGGTGACGGGTGTGTGGGCGTGCACCGTGTGAATTGTGACTCTGTTATCTCTGCGGTACTGTGTGGTTACCTAATCTTCTTGTAACCATGAAATTTCCATGTACTTGAGCTATTGAGTTGTGATCCATGCTAGAATCCATGTCTAGGCTACATGATTATCCTGTTGGGACCCACCGA